CGCAAATTTCTGTCATGCATAACTCACCATGTCCGGATTATTCATATTCGTGTATTTCCGAATAATTCTGTCTTGCTTCCATGTCGCTTCACAGTCCATCGTTTCCGGAAATTTCCGTCATTCATATTTCATCATTCCCGGATTATTCCGTCGTCCTCCCGTTTTGGTCGGCCAGCCCTAAAAGCTCCAGGGCCTCTTTTCTTTACAGACTGAAACCCAGCAGTATGTGCTGTTGGGACTATTTGGCTCCTGTCAACATCCGCCGTGCACTAAAGTATATGACTCGAAGGGTGAGGAAGGCGTTGAGGAGCGCGCAGCGCGGAAAACACTCAGAAATGTGTGATTTCCCTTGTAAAAAACACTATTGCGTCAAATGGACGCTAAGCGTCCAAGGCACCCCCCCCCCCCCCCATCGAACCGAATCTCTGCTCTTGGGTGGTTCTCTAAATTCGTGTCCCCTTTTGGGGGTTCCTTTTTATAAGGGTGCCGGACCATTTTTGGGGACGTAAAATGGGACCCTAATTTAGAGAACTACCCACTTTCAGCTTGCAGGACATTCATGATTTCGGGGCCCCGTTAATCTTTGCAGCGATAGCAACTGCACTCCTGTCCCAGCCCGAGAAACCCACCTGAACGCCTAAAACCCAACAACAACCCTAAACCCTAAACCCTAAACCCTAAACCCTAACCCTAAACTCTCAACACCCTCTCCTCAACCCCTACACCCAACACCCCTGGGCTTTGAAGTAACCAGGGAGAAAAAAGTATAGACCTTTTAATGAATAATGGTTCCTTTAAGGAACAGGTCCCCAAAAAAGTAGTAAAGTATGGTACTCCAAAGCCCAGACCTTTTGTTGTGGGTTTAGGGTTTAGGGTTTAGGGTTTGTTGTAGCCTAGATGACAACAGACTACCCTGTTGCAGCACACTCCGGATACAATGCACCTGTTCGCGCCATAACGACTCTGCGCGGCCAAACTTAATCTGAATCCCTAAACTAAGCCCTACCTAGATCCTGAAGAACCTACCTTTTTAGGGATCCTTATTACGATTTCCTTACATAAGTCCTTAAAAAAGTAGGTTTTTTGGGGTAAAAGGTCAACCCCAAACCCTCTGAAGGCCTGAAGAAGAAGACTAAAGTCAGGATGTCTTTCCGGACTCCAGCAGAATCACTTACCCAGAGGGTCCATATACGTTACCATGATGGAAGTAGGTCCCAAAAGAGCATCCTTAGAATGGTTTTGAGGGACCTAACTCCATAATAGTAGTCCACTTGGACCCTCCTTGGATAGAGCATAGTGCTACTAACTGCTTCGACCTGTTAACCCTAAGGATCCTTCTCCATGATTCGGAGCCCCGAATAAAGTCAAATTCCGCCGACCGGAAAAACACCCGTTATAAACTCCTGCAAAGTCTCTGTAGAATCTTGAAAAGCCCCTCTCATAAGCCCCTACCAGCCCCCTCCCAACCCCACCCTAAACCCTAAACCCTAAACCCTAAACCCTAAACCCTAAACCCTAAACCCAAGACGACCAGCTCGCGCCTGGCTCGAAGCTGCCGTAGCGGCAGTGAACCGGGCTCCCAGTCGATGGCAGCGTAGCTCCCGAGCCTGCGACGGTTTCAGCACGGGTGTTTTATACTGTGAACCAAAAATACTAATATGGGGACTAGCTGCAAACACCAATATATGTATATAGACATACATACATATACATATATATATATATATATGTATATATATATATATAGAGTCCGCTTTTCATGTTTGTGTTTATAGGTATTTATAACTACCTATATTTACGTATGCTTATCTAAATGTAGTATATCTTTTTATATTTGTTCATGTCATATTTCTTCTGTAGCTACATTTTCTATACTTGATAGTTATTTATATTTATTCATGCCCAAGGCTCAGGAACAGACCCTACAGAGATACGGAACTACAACATCTTTTGTATAGGACTGTGACTGAACTACTGCAAGCTTAGGAAAACCGTCTAAGCTTCATACTGTAGGGCTATCATAGTACGTTTTGTATGGTATAGTACAGTATAGACAGGTTAAAACGGTCATAGTTTATTGGATTGTAGTACGCTTTTGTACTGTCTAGTACAGTCTAGCGTACAGCAGTATATCTTATGGACTATTCTAGTATACTGTGGTATCTTATGGCATATATACTATGGTATCTTATGGCATCTTGGGTATCTTATTCTAGTATACTGTGGTATCTTATGGCATCTAGTGTGCACCATGGAATCGCGTGTTGCACCTGAAACCCGGAAGCCCTACGAAGTGGAACCCTAAACCCAAACCTCAAAGCCGAAACGCCTCACCCCAAACCCCCAAAACCCTAAACCCCTAAACCCATAAACCCTAAACCCGCAACTTTGCACTTGAAGCTTCGAAGGCGACGAAAGCGACCGAGCGCCAGTCACAAAATGTGTTCGGGGAGTTGCCTTTCAGGGTTCAGGGGTTGGGTTTTCTGGTGTTAGGGGGTTCAGGGGTCGGGGGTTGGGATTTCTGGTGTTAGGGGGTTCAGGGTCCGGGGTTGGGTTTTCTGGTGTTAGGGGAGTTTGGGGTTTTAGGGTTCAGGGTTTGGGTGTTCTGGTGTTAGGGTTGAGGGGTTTAGGGTTCAGGGGTTTCGGGGGTTTGGAGGTTTCGGGCTTAGGGTTCACGGTTTAGGGTTTCTGGTGTTGGACTGTCTGGTGCTTAGTAGGGAATGGGGGAATGGATCCCTATGATAGTCCCTTAAGGTCCCTTATAGTAGTCCCTATAATCCATTCCCCCATTCCCTACTAAGCACCAGACAGTAGAGGGTTTAGGGTCTAGCCTTTTGGTGTTCAGGTTCAGGTTGCTTTCAAGTGACACCAGACGACTCTGAAGATAGCCTCCTCTTTGGCGAACTTTAGGGCACGTCCCTGTCCAGTCCGTTTAGGGCGGTTTATGGTTTAGGGTTCACGGTTTGAGGTTCGAAATGCAGCACATCTCCCATGTGTCACCTGCTAGCGTCGATCCTGACAGGGGCCAAAATGGGATCGCTACATGCCCGTCCTATCGAATGCACCTGAACGGCTGTGCTGCCAGACCCCCTAAACCCTAAACCCTAAACCCTAAAAAAAACATTTTTTCTCTTCTAAAAATTACGGGCCTTATGGACCTTCCAGACATGGATTCTACCGTTCACGGCTTGAAGATGGTTTCGAGTCTATTTGCAGTCCTCGTCCCCGCAGGAGTCTGGGTCGTTCATGGTCTGTGCATCAGAACATTTTTCTAAGGTGTTGCCCTAAGCCCTATACCCTAAACCCTAAATCATCAAACAGCATCTCCCAAAGATATGGTTCTTGCTAACGACATGAGTTTCAGGTCGCCATGTCAAGCAGAGCAGAATGGTTGCTGTTTACATCTCCCGAAACCCTAAACCCCAAAAACCCTACGGGTCCCAAGGACCTAACAAGTAGGTGGGTTACGGGTAGTAATTTTTGTGCGTTGTGATTATGAGGTACTTGGACCCTGGGTTTTGCATAGAAACTCCAGGCTCTAAGCCGCAAAAGGGAAGGGCTACCAGCCTTCGTAATTTAGGCCTTAGGGTACAGCTAGACCCTAAACCCTAAACCCTAAATAGGAACAGCTTGAGAGGGCGCCCTAAACCCTAAACCCTAAATAGGAACAGCTTGAAAAGGCGCCTGGAGGGCTTCGCATCATGTCAAAGCCTGTCGCATCACAGCTGGTTTAGGGCTGAGGACCCCGATCCCCCTGTTTGCAGCTGATATCTTGATATGGGAGTTTCCGAAAATTGGGGGTACCTTATTTTGGGGTCCTTATACTAGGGATCCTACTATTTAGGGTACCATATTAGGGTCCCCTATTTTCAGAAACCCCCATATCATCTATTGCGACAAACCCCACCCCGCGAGTAAAATAACAGGGCCCTCGGTGCTATCTTACTACCCAAACAGACCCCTTCTAGAAACCCCTACAGAAACCCTTTTAGATCCCTCTTAAGGGACCCTAAACCCTAAACCCCTAAACCCTAAACCCCCACTAAACCCCTACTAAACCCCTAAATCCCTGAACCCTAAACCCCAAACCCTGAACCCCTAAACCCTCAACCCTAGACCCTAAAAGGGACCCTAAGCACCTCTCACTGATTAGGGTATTGATACCTGTTAGCCTTCTCGGGCTCTTTTTGCACCGCCCATCGCAACGCTAATCTAGGGGCCTTGATTAATCATTAGAATAGGGTTTTCGGTTTAGGGGTTTACGGTTTAGGGTTTAGGGTTTAGGGTTTACGGTTTAGGGTTTAGGGTTTACGGTTTAGGGTGTAGGGTGATATACTATAGTTATAACAAGGACCCCCCCCCAGAATATTATAGGTAATTATTTGGGCCCCTAGATTAACTTCTCAATATTCGCTCTTGTACTTCCTGTAAGTCCTTTAACAGAAGATTGACGTGCAAATTAAATTGCATGTGGCAGCAATTAAGATAAAAGAAAACGAACGTAGACAACTATACAACGAGTACCCGGCAACACAAAATGCCATGATCAGCGAGGCACACACACACACAAATGCACATGCGTGGATACATGCGCAGTTACATGCACACAATCACAACATACAAAGATACATAGATACATGATACATAGGTACATACACACATGCATACATGCAGACATAGATACATACAATCGTTGGCACTTAGGTACAGAAGGACATATACATGCATGCTTGCAGACCGACCGACAGACTGACATGCCAATACATTTCCCCCATTTAGGTTCTCCAGTAGCCCCTTAATGATAAGGGTGCCCTTTTTTACTACTATTTGGTTTCAATAAGGAGACCCCAAACCAAAAAGGGCAAAAGGGTACTACTTGGGAACCTAG